GATATATCGATATTTTTTATTCCCTAATATCGGTATCGGCCCCAAAAAACCCATATCGGTCGGGCTCTAGACTCTACTGTAGTTTAGATAACAGACACACACTATACTGCTGTTGAACTGTTTCATATGTCATTAAAACAATACATTTTCCATTGCTGACTGCATGCAACACCAAATATGCAGCTCAAAAGAATGGCCCAAATGGAGCCAGTCGACTCATTTTTAATGTAACAAATGAGTCTGTTGAACTGACTGGCAAATCAATATCAATCAAACTAACAAGTGGAATAATCTTTTAAGCTGTGTTCACAAACCAGCAACTTTGTCTCTGTAATGTGAAGATCCTAGCATTGTGGCTGTGATATTATTGGTAGACTGCACATCTAGACATATCTTAAGAAAATGCAACCACAGATGATTTATTTCTGGTAAAACCCAAGATATCATTCTAATTTTACAAGCAATTATTTATCTTGTTGCTAAAAAACGTTATATTCTGCTGTTGGAGAAGTTCGTTACTACTGCTCAGTGCATTAAACAGATGAACAACCAATCAATCTATGAAATAAACTCATTCATACACTTACAAAAATTTCTGCAACAGCTTTTGTAAGTATTGTGAAACTTACAACATTGTAATAAATTAAATGATTTTAAATAATAATAAAAATGTTTTAGCTCAGTTTATCATTTGGCAAACACAAACAATAAAGCCTAACAAAATTATGAGGGTTTGCAAAAATAAACAGCATTGTGTAAAGTAAAAACATCATTGTGCAGCAAACACTGAACTGACCTCATCTAAATCTTTTTATCGTCTGTCTCGCATATGCACTCAAATGAGGAAGCTGCTGACTCTAAGCTGTAATATGAAAACATGCATTGTAAATGAGGAGCCAGATCAGAGTTTTTTTCTGAATGATGCATAAACACAGTGGCTCGCCACACCCTCTGCTTCCTTTACCATCCTGATCCGAGCATTATAGGGATTAAAATCTCCCATCATGCCTGGCTTCGCTCCAGCATGCGCTAGACTTGTGCCGGTTTTCGGTAATGCGATATATCACGGTAATGAATATGCACGATATTGTTATCGTGGGCTCTTCTAAATACCGTGAATAATTATATGTTACAAGTTATTCAGAATTTTGAATGCATTTTAAGAATACTTTTCCCATCAACTGGTCAAAATGCACAACACCGCTGTATGCTGCGTGAAAGACTTGTGCGCACTGAGGTAAACAAGCTCGGACGAGAAGCACATGGCGGAACATGTGAGAGACGCTCTGGATGAAAGCGCACTTTCACTCTCTGACAGCAGATGGCGCTAAACTGCAGAAATAATAATAATAATAATAATTAATTTAAATGAAACCCTGTAAACAAAGCAGCTGCTCTACTTTCTCATATACAGTTTTCTGTATTGCTTTATTGCATTTAAATGTTCAGTTATTTTTGTTATAAGAAAAAAGTTATTAAACCTGTTATACTGTATTATGACAGCACTTTTTTGAAACTAAATTTCAATACCGTGATAATACCGTATACCGTGATAAAAGCATTAGCAATTAATCACAACATGAAAATTTGATACCGGCATATCCCTAGCATGCGCACACACAGACTGTATGTAAGACTTTATATTCAAGACTGTACCCATGCTCATTTGAGCGCTTAGCATAGAATTAAACCGCACATGTTGGCTTTTTACACGCTGCACTATGCCAACACAGCAATCTGTATCTCTGACATCAAACTCACTGCTATATTCATAGTGACTGAGTTTTGCTTATTATACAGTCACTGATGTAAAAGTATCTACAGACTGGCAATCACATATGTAAATACTTTGAGCAAAGTTCATCTTGAAAACTATGAAAACTGGTTGCCTGGGCAACAGCTAACAGCACACCTTTCTCTAGGGAGCACAGGGGAGATGGGTGGGCGGCAGAGATGCTCTGCTAATGTAACCATGGAAACTGGCCTGTTTGGCTTTCATTGACAAAATAATCCCGCTACACAGAGGCTGAGTCTTTACAGTCCAACATTACAGAAGAAAGCGAACAAAACCTTGAATTATATAATGGTACCCTTAACAGTACCAATGAATGTAGTGCTCATTAATATCGTATCATTATCTATATGAGAAAATAGTACCTTAACACTGTAGACTGCCCTGCTATCATCTGTGCATTGTACTCCTATTGGAGTATTGGAAAACTATTGGAGGTTTATGCATTTTACAGAAATATTGACCAGTGGCTATATTTCAAAACAAATTGTAGTATTTACTGCATTATTCCAGCTTCAACCTGGTTATCAAAATTATTATAAGAAAAAATATCTTTAATATTTGGGAAATTTAAGCTATTCCCAATTTCGCAAGCTTCTGCAGAGTTATATCTTTATTTATTAAAGTTAAAGCCAAATTTGCAACCCTGTCACAGATATATACTGATATATTTATTAATTTTACAGTTATTATTTTACATTTTTGTTTATTAAATGTTTACTGCAAGAAAGAAGCAATCTCAAAATAGATTTTAAATGGTCTTAAAAGTATCGAATTTCAGTAATAAGAATCCATTTTTCAACTTCACATAAATAAGTCTAAAATAAAAGACTTCACATTTAATGTTTATTTGCCATCTTGCCTTCGCCCTGCTATTTTCTGATGGTTAACCACCTCTTTGCTGAATTTTGACCCTATTTTAGAGTTAGCCCTATTTGGTGCCATTCATTGAAAGTGCCTTTATAGTGAAATGAGGCAAAGGAAATCACTTGTTTACTGCCTTCGCCCTGCTATTTTCTGATGGTTAACCACCTCTGTTGAATTTTTACCCTATTTTAGAGTTAGCCCTATTTGGTGCCATTCATTGAAAGTGCCTTTATAGTGAAATGAGGCAAAGGAAATCACTTGTTTATAAGATCTCATTATTTAACATCTGTGTTTAAGGCCTTTGATTCATGTGATAAATAATTCAGGCAAGAGTTGTTGAATCAGAATAGGACTCACTCCGAAGAATCTATGAAGTATATTCCCAGAGCTCCGATGCTGAGTGCAAAGACCAACACCACCTGGAGGGGGAGAGAGAAAGAAAAGAGAGAAAGGGGGAAGGATATCATTAGTGAAGGTCCACTGAGAACAGTACCACTTACAGAGAACAGTTTCATCCTGGAGCTGTTCAACAATGAGCACAACTCATTTCCACCCATACTACACATGTGGATGAGACATAATAAACAGGAAATGTCATAAAACTGTAAGTGATCCCACCAAATCAGGCTGTGTTTCCAAACCTAGTGGGCTGTCAACCTAAGCATGGTTTATGGACACTGTGGGCTCATTTGAATGTTCAAACATGCCTGTGAAACAGTCTAGGGAGACAGCAGCTCACCAGGGTTAGAGATGCAACTCTAGTCTTAGCTCTCCGAAAAACGAATGAATTTAATCAAGTGAGAGTAACTTTTAAGAGAGACTGTGAAGGGCTTTATTTTTATTTTTTTCAAAGGACTGAATTCATTTAAGTGGTAAGCCCTGTATTTAAAAATGTATTCAAAGACTCTTACCCCATTTCTTAGTAAAATTAGAGAAGATTTAAACTGATGGGATACTCTACCTATTTCTTGATTAGGTAGAGTGGCTCTTATAAAAATGACTGTCCTTCCCAAGCTTCTATACACAATTCAAATGATCCCTATTCTGTTCTCTAAAAAGGTTTTAAAAGATGTGAATGGCTGGCTTAGCTCCTTTATTTGGAAAAAGTGCAAACCAAGATTGAAATTTTCTGCACTACAATTATCAGGTTCAATGGGAGGACTGGATTTGCCTAATATTAAGCTATACCAATGGTCAGCCTAAGATACATTTCTGATTGTGTTGCTCTTGATAACTCTTCTACTTGGTTGGACCTTGAACAGTCATTGTCAAAACTTCCCCTTGTGGATCTGTTGTTTCTCAAAAAAATTAAATCCTTATTGGAGAACTGTGATAACCCTGCAACTGTAAATGCACTTAAGGCATGGAGGGCTGTTTGTCATTTCGAGGGAATAAGTAAATTAACCTCTGCTCTTATGCCAATTGTGAATAACCCAGACTTCCTTCCGGGCAGATTTGATGAAAGGTTTACATTTTGGGTGAATCAAGGTATTAATCGGCTTATGGCCTAATGTCCTTTGAGGATTTGAGACAGAAGTATCAAATTTAACAGGACTTCTTTCATTTTTTTTTTAGATTAGTAACTATATTTTGAAGGATACCACATTATGTAGGCTACTAATAGAAGTCTGTCTCCTACAGAAAAACTACTTTTTCAAACACCTGGAAAGAAGTGAGTTTTTTATATAAAGTTCTCAATGCTACATTTGAGGGAAATGTAGTTCTAAATACTAGACTTGCTTGGGAGAGGGAACTTTCTATTTCTGTAAGAGATGAAGAATGGGGTAATATTTGGAAATATTTGGCTATAACAACTCAAAATTGTAAATAGAATGCATGTTTCACCAAACTGTAGACATGCATTTAACCAGTAGCGAACCGTTACTTTTGAACCTTGGCCCTCTTTTTTTTTTTTAATCACCGAACTTCAAACTCATCGACACTACTTGCTTATTCTTGAAGTGAATGTTTGACTGTTTGGAGAGTAGATTAAAGGTTTTGTACTGCCATCTTGAACTGAACGCAACGCGTCCGGTGTAGGGCTGGGTATCGAGTTCGATACTTTTTAGGCACCGACCGAATTGCCTCGATACCATCGAGTATCGAAAAACGTCTCGTCGTTCGGTACCAAATTTCGATACCTAAGGGGTTAATCTCATCACCGTCAGTGAGCCAATAAAGGCCCGGGTATACTTCACTTTCCGCGTTCCGTTCCATCTCGCGCTCAGCCGTGTCCGCACAGCTTTCAAAGTATACTCAATATGATGAGTGCAGACAGACGAGCTCAACACAGGCGCAGTTTGACTTGCGCTCTGTCTCAACTTTCACCTGGCGCATGACGTGTC